GGCGGATCTCTCGGTTAGCCCTCAGCCAAACAAAATTGCAAAACTAACCCTACAGGTTAGTGTACAGCCTCGCAGACAATCTCGGCAGCAGGAATAAAGCAAGTCATTGCACTATAGCCTGCAACTCCTCAGGGCTGTACCATGAAATTAGGAAAGTTTAAGACAAAACCGTCCACACTGGTGAGACTGGCACATGGTTCCTTGACCGCATTCCATTTACCCCTCTTACTCCGACGGCTCTCTTTTTTTTGTTTTTTTTGTTTTTGAGAACAAATGCTCCAGTCTATTCGTGGGGAGCAGCACGTGCTGGGAACCGGGCCCAGCGTCCCATTTCGAACTGTACAGATCATTGAGAACATGTGAGATACCGGGGCCATTACCCGGCTTCGGCTGGGAACAGTCTGTGAACACGATATGAATCAGAAAGCATGGGGAGGATCATGAATATCTACTGACCTATTAAGGAACTACTCATGCCATAGGCTACCACAGAGGCCCTACGAATGCTCACAGCCCTCAGGGTCCCTAACCAGACCTTCTAAGACTTTCCAACTGTTACAGTCTTACTCCCTGCTGAGCTCTTCCAGGCCTCACGCCCCCACCCTGCTGGGTTACAGGGCAACACAGCTCGCCCCAGCTCCGAGCAGCGTTGTCCCAGCAGCAATGCTTGGCTGTCCCTTGGGATGCCCAAACCAAAGCATCCCCAGATCTCTCTACCGGGCCTCACGCTCCTGCATCAGCAGGTTACAGGGCAACACCCCAGCACCGGCCAGCGTCGTTCTGGCATCGAACAGCGGTAGATCACTGACTCAGAGTATGACAACATCGAAACCGCCTAAGATGGGTTGCTAAGAGTCCCTAGAGTCCTAAGACATTCATAACTTCATAAGAACAACCGACTTTTTTTTTTTTCCCACTATTCAAACTCTACCAAGTCACTAGAATATGTGTGTCACTCCGAGGGCTAAATGGAGCATATTTCGAATCGAATAAATCTGAAAAAAGCGCAACAGTTCAGTGTCACTGAGTGAATCATCAATCCAATCAAATTGAATTTTATCTGTCTTATGGTTGTTATCGTGTCGCCATAAGGCCCAACGAACACATACTAATGGACTTGCGGTCACGAAGTGGGAGACTGGAGCTTGAGCAGGAAACCCAAACAAAAACGCTGACTCCCCCGCAATTCCTTGACACCAATGGCATGCAATTTACACCTATCGGGGCTAAGCCGCCAGTACTTGGCCCAGCTATGGGCCGCGGAAAAAAACAGAGTAGAAACGTTACTAGTCGGATGAATTTGGGCGCTCCTGCAGTGGCCCGTACGTTTCCTCAAATCGTGGCTTGCATACCGGCACTACTTAATGAAAGTACTGGTGGTTAAAACTTAAAAGAGAGTTTGACTGCTACGTCTAGGCCATCTGACAGTGGTAGAGTAAGGCGTCAGCCCCTTTTCTGCCAGTATAGCTGCTCTGTACGTCTGTTTGTCACAAATTGTCAGTGCTTCGTACCTGGACCACAAAACAGTTGGAGAAGCTGGGTCGGAATGGCACGCGGTTTCCTGCTCAGATCCTCTTTTTATTTTTCCGCGCTTTATGTCCTTGGTCCTTTCTGGTGCTAAAGAGAGACGCCTGCTGGAAGCCGGCCCGGCATCCCTAGTTCAAAGAACCCCCGCCCCCCCCCTCTCCCTTTGTTACAAATGGGACAGCCACAATCTGTCCTGGCCCCACAGTCCTGTCATTCCACTTATGGTTTTCATTCAGCCAGGCGCGGGCACTACCTTCTTCACCCGAGTAGAGCGTAGAGCGCCCTGTCGTTGCTGCCGAATCTGGACAGAAAGTTGCACCAAATGCAGCTATAATGGCCGGACGTTCTGTTTGGGTTGGGTGAAGACGGTAGTGCCTATGCTGCTGAGACTAAATAAATTATTGGGAAGCTGAATAAAGCTTAGCTGCCTGACGTTTTCAACATTACCCCTATCTATTCATCCAAGCAACCCTCCTCCTACAGGTATTCCCATTCTTTCCAAGGCCCAAATTGAGGAGGTGGCACCCCTCCTCCTATTCTTTCCAAGGCCCAAATTGAGGAGGTGGAACCCCTCCTCCTATAGGGACTCCAATTCTTTCCAAGGCCCAAATTGAGTATTCCCATTCTTTCCAAGGCGCAAATTGGGTAGGTGGCACCATCCTCATATAGGTACGCCCATCCTTTCCAAGGCCCATATTGAGTACGTGGTGCCCGCGACTCTTATAGCTATTCCCATTCTTTCCAAGGCCCAAATTGAGTTGGTGGCACCCCTCCTCCTATAGGTATGGCCATTCTTTTTTTCCAAAGGCCAAATTGAGGGGGTGCCCCCCCTCCTCCTATAGCTTCCCGAGGCCCAAATTGAGAAGGTGGCACCCATCCTCCTATAGGTACTCTGATTCTTCCCAAGGCCCATATTTAGGAGGTGGGACACGCATTAGTCGGCGACGAGGGAGGAAGTCGATGATCCGCAAGACCAACTCTTCTGGCAATTGGTCCCACATGGACCCTCTGAATAACCGCATAAAATGCCGGCATTGGTGTTGCTTGACATCTGCGATGGTTGAGAGCCGAAGCCCGTACTCACGAGCATTGCAATGGTGCCGAAAATCGTAGTCTTGATATATTTTTGTAAGGGAAGCAGCTACCGGAATCAGCCACGCCACCTCGGACTGGCTGGTATGGCGAAGTTTTCCTGCCATGTAAGAAGCGTTGAGCAGACTTTGGACAGATCCAAGCACTCTGGGAGAACTTTGAACAGATCCCAGCACTCTGGGAGAGTTCTCCAGATCTTCATCATCATACTCGTCATCAACCAAGATATCAAGAAGGTCACACCACAGCCTCACTGTGGTGGGTACATCCCCATGTGGCTGGTATCCTCTATCAATCAGTTGCTGTGCAACGACTGTGACCTCTTCAACATGTTCCTCGCGTAAGTCTAACTGTTCATCCTCGAATTTAGCTCGCACTTTGGCAATCAGCGCACCAGTGTCTCGCTCCCGGATGTGTGCAAACCAACGTTCATCATCAAACATCAGCATCCGCAGCGGGTAGCTTTGGTGCCCATCTCGCCCAACGAGGTCAAAATCAACAAGAAAACCCTTAACACCTTCTTCAAGGACGACACTATTAAACGGCTCGAAATCCATATAGTAGTTAATCAGCCTATTCTCCTTTTCAAAATAGTCGTAAATTTTCCCAGCAAGAGTCTCGTCCCTCTCGCACTTTACGTCCCTGCCCCACCGGGCAAAGCATTCCTCATTCTCAAGCTGAGGATAGCTGTTCGATAAGCAATACCGAAGGAACAGCGTACAAAAATAGGCCTTTACAACTTCATATCCATAATGGTCCGGCGAGTCATCCACTCTAATTAGGTCAAATAGCTCAAACTCGCAAAGGGCTACATAGTCACCATCATCTCTGCCGACAATATAGTCAGTGAATTCACTCTCGCTCATTCTTGTGCCACGTATACTGCCTCTCAAGAACTCCATCGCGAATTTTCTGACCAGATTGCCAAGCACCGCAGTGTCTGAACTGGATCCTCCTGGGACTTTGTTGCAATGCTCTGCAAATTTCTGGGCAAAAGCATCAACACTCTCCATCATCCTGCGGGCGGATCCCGATGGGATGATGAAATCATAAAACAGATTGACATCACTGCAGCAACAACTGGTGTCGAGGCGAGCCATCTGGACAGGTGACACGTGGAATTTCTCGAACACACTTCCTTGGAAAGCTGTGCGGAAGTCGACGACAATTGTATCATCATCATCTTCAGAACCACCATTGGACAGACCAGCCATCTCAAATCGCCACGTGTTTTCACCGCCCCGATATATTGAGTGTGTGTGTGCGTTGTGTTTCTTATTCCGATGCCAACCCGATATACGTCGAACTGCGGAAGAAGGATGGAAACATTGATTGGAGCAAAAAATTATTTCACGCTGGGACGGGCTCTCAGCACGTTCTGCTCCCCACAAATAGATTGGAACATTGTGCCCCCCCCCCCCCCCCTAGTCGGGAGAAAGGTGGCATGGGGCTTGACGATGTCAAGCCTTAGGGTTATGGGTGTTCTGACTGCTTGTTTGTTGCCTTGCAGCAGCTCAAACTTATGTCTAATGGCCTTCCGTGGGGATGAATGATATTATAATCTAATAAGCTGCTCGCCATGCTTGAGTAGTCTGTGAAAGGAAGCCAGCACACAACCAACCATGCAAGAGATGAGGGCAGGAAGAAAGGAGCCAAGCTGCACGAACTTCTCATTCCATTTCAAACACCTATACCTCATCAACCCCACCATCAAGTTACCATTAACATCATGAATATTCCCGCATCATCTCATCCGCATGCCCTTCCCCACCTCTCTCTCTCTCTCTCTCTCTCTCTCTCTCTCTCTCTCTCTCTCTCTCTCTCTCTCTCTCTCTCTCTCTCTCTCTCTCTATGTGCCTGCACCAGCGTCAGGGACCTCCCGCCTCTGTGCTACACGTGGGCAGGGACTGCACGGGTCTATTCAAAGAGTTGCAATGATGTTGGGTGGTGAGTCCTTTGAGTGGATTGCCTGATTACGGTGTGTGTTTCCCTGCAAACAGGCATCTACTTCTTTTCACATATTTAACACTTCTGCCCTCCGCGCCTGGACTTAGCCAACTTGAGGTGGCCTGCGGCAGCCATCAAGAAGAAAGGCTCCACTTAGCGGATGCATCTTTCAATGATCTTTGGGTCGCTGGACTTAGCCGGCCTGAACAGTCCTGATGGGTATCAGATTGTAGAGATCGGGAAATTTCTTGCATAACTTCTGGTGGAGAGACTGGTAGTTCAAACCACCAGTAAGTTTCACAGATGTTTTTATCGCGGCTGTTCTCTCTCCACAAAGTTTTGGGGGTCAGCATACCGGAGCAAAATGGCCGTTGGGGGCAGCCAACACAAAGGATGTGGCAGTCCGTTTGCTTTTGCATGCAGGGTCAAAAGTACTTGTGCTGTAAACCACCAGTCCAACAGAAGTTAAATTGTTGATCCAAAAAATGGCTCCTGCTTAGGCCTGCAATCCACCGCTTCGTGTTTGGTGAGGGCCGGCAGATACAGTGTGCAGGGGGGGGGGGAGGATACCGAAATGCTCACAGCGCGCCATTAAACGAGAGAGCAAGGCCCTGGGGCGGCCCACACGCCAGGTGTTGATGCGGATGAACATACATAAAGATGAGCTGTTCGGCACAACAACATCTGATATGAGCATGGAGAGACAAATCCACCATTACAACCATTTCCCATCGGAGATCACAAATGAACAAGACTTAGTACGGAAACAATCAAGGGATCAAACCAATCACATTACACATAGATATCTCATATTCAAACGTGCCAAATTCCAACCCAAAGCATGGAATACACGAAGAGCTCCACCTCTGAGGAACAATCATTGATCGGCACTCATCCACAGACATGCGGCCATCCCTCAACATGTTTTCTACTGCTCCGCATGGGAGCGTCTTCCTACGAATCCTCCCAACTACCGGTCGCTGCAGTCACGACCGCGGCGGCCACAACTTTCGCGGCCACGTGGCGGCCAGACGGGGGGGGGTCTGGGGGTGGGAGTTGCGGATTGGGGTTCCGGGAACCCCGAACCCACCCCTTAGAAAAAAGAAAAATGTAAAAAAATGGGTTTTGGGGGGGGGGTGTTTGTGGGTGAAAAATAATTTAAAAAAAAAAATAAATAAAGCTCTTGACTGATTGATTGATTTTGTATGTTTGGTTGATTGATTGTCAATGTCCTCTTCCCCCGTCTGTTTTACGTCGCTCTTCCCTCGTTATTAGGTTGATAGATACAGGGCCACTTAAACTGTCCGAGCATTTGCATTTTGTTGACTTTTTTAGTCTGTTTGCCCCCCCCTATCCTTATAGAGATCGGTCAGGCAAGGAGACCCTATTGTTCCTTTACTCTTCGTAATCATTATGGAAACCCTCGCGGCCAACATACGTCAACACAAGGATATTAAGAGAATCAAGGTTACTACTATCCCTGAAGATGCTATACCTGTATGTTCCCTATTCGCAGATGATCTCTCCCTTATGGTTGACGCTACTAAGGAAAATTTGGAGGCCATTCAAAAGGTGATGGATAAATTTTGCATGATCTCTGATATGAAAGTGAATTGGGGGAATAAAACACTGGGATGGTGGCTCCACCATCAAGGAAGTACACCACCGGATAGACCTAGGATTAAATGGATTCCCCATGAGATTCCTATAAGGATCCTGGGGATTTCCCTTTCAGCTCAAGGGAAACAACGACCATTTCGTCAAAATGGACATTTTTTATTTTTTGAACGAAATTGGAACTGAGTTTTTTCGCCGAAAACTCGTCAAAATTTGTTGTTCGTGAGGGTCCGGCGTTTGTAAAACGCTGGACCCCCTGGCTGTACATGGACCTAGCTTGAGACCAGGTACGTCCAAGTACGTCCAGGCAGTCCTGCGTGGAGGTGCCAGGTCTCAAGCTAGGTCCATGTACAGCCAGGGGGTCCAGCGTTTGTAAAACGCTGGACCCTCGGGAACAACAAATTTTGACGAGTTTTGGGCCAAAAAACAGGGTTTCAATTTCGTTAAAAAAATAAAAGATGTCCATTTTGAAGAAATGACTGTTAAACCATCTTCTAATAATACTAGGATCATGGACCAGGCTCTCTCGAAGCTGGAGCTGTGGAGAGATAAACATACTTCTATCTTTGGAAGGACCCTTGCTATTAACAATGTGGTATTGACCTCAATCTGGTATAAATCAACTATTTGGGTCATGGACCCTTGCTATTAACAATGTGGTATTGACCTCAATCTGGTATAAATCAACTATTTGGGTCATGGATAAATCGGCTATTAAGGCATTCCAACGTCAGCTCGTTGCCTTCCTATGGCGCCGTAATCATGAATGTACTAATGTGATCAGCAGAGTAGCTTGGCTATCCTTAATCCAACCCAAAGGTAAAGGCGGTCTTGGGATTATTGACCCCACCACCCAAGCTATGACTTTCTCAATTCAGTGGATTAAGCGGCTACTCTTTAATCCTCAGACACCATGGAGTGAACTGGCGAAGGAACAAATCAGGAGATTAGCTCCTCCTACTGCTGAAGAGGTAGACCCTCTCATGTGGTTGGAAAATAGATCCTGGCCTCTCCCAAAGAAATCCTCCTCTTTAGACCAAGTTCCTCATCCCTCGGATCGTCAAGCAGCTAGGGCAGACCTAGTTAATGACTCTTTCTGGATTGACCTATTAAAAGTCTGGAGAAAACTCCCTCTCCCAGATAAGGTTTTCCCGGAAAGATGGGATGAGGTTTGTCGACAACCTCTATTTAACAATCCCTTGATCAGAGACTCTCTGGGCTATACCCTTGATTGTGCAGCTTCGCCCTGGAAAGGATGGATTAGGAAAGGAATCACTAGGATTAAGGACATTTGGAGTAGTGCTGATACGGTTAGCCCTCAGACTCTTCAGGAAAAACTTAGGTACTGTCACTTTCCGGTAGAAGCCCTAGAAAGGATTATTGACATTATTCCCTAAGATTGGATTAAAATCCTTAAAAAAGGTCCATCTCTCTCCCCATAGGATTGGGTTTCCATTTTACCTCATCCTGAAGTAGTGGGGAAAGTCCTGGAAATTGGTGAGACAGGCGAGGTTCATTTGTTGCTGTTTAATTTACAAAACGATGGTTTTCTATCACCAACGGCTCAGCAACAGACAAGGTGGTTTGAATAGGATACTCTTTTTCGAGTCAGGGTGCTGTCAATGGAAGGAAAATTGATTGCCTATAAACCGGACACCCCCATCTCCCACCTCCCTTTTGATCCAATTTGCTGGTCTTGGTCAGGATACTTTCCAGCACGTCCCACTCATATCGGAATGCTTCACAATTTAACGGTTAAATCGACGTATAGGATGCTTAGACCCAAGGTGGGCCTTAGAGAAAGAGTTCAGAATCGGTGGATGAATCATCTCAGGATAGGTATGGAAGAATTACGTTCCGTAAAATGGTTTCAACTGTCCAAAATCAAGCCTGCCCAAATCGCCTCGCTTTAATGACAAATTTCCCATCGCTGTCTCCCTACCAATGACTGGTTGATTGATCGAACTTCTTTAGAATAGAAAGGAAAAGCATACCCATGGTGCAAATTCTGTAAATCCGCTTTTCCTTCTAAGCTTATACCAGAAACAATGAACATATTTTTTTGCAATGCCCAGGTTCGGCGTCGTTATGGCGCTGGTGGTCGAGAATTTGGAATCAGATTGGAACAACGCTCCCCTGGCCTTGGAACTGGAAAGCCTTACTACTTGAGACCTGGAACCCGTCAGAAGTGGATAATTTCACTCTTAATTTTTTTTAAATTTATCGAAGAGCTGTAATATGGGCATTGTGGGTCCGTAGGTGCACCTACGAAATGGAAGGAGTTCGCCTTGACGACCAGGAATTTACTGATTCTATCAAACAACAAATTCAAGTGGAAATCACAACTCCGTGGGAAGAGGTGAAGGAAAAGTTAGAATTTTTTTCTTTAGAATGTGACATTAAACAACACATCCTAACCTTTAATCAAGACTGGCTTGGTGGGGATCAGGGAGGGAGGGTGGGGAGGGCAGAATGGGAAAAGAGACAGAGCATTGACTCGGGGAAGACCTCATGGATTTTTCATCTTACCTTTCACGACTGGTGCGTCATTGACCCCAGTGTTCCAATGAGTCCACTTTCGGATTTTCCAAATCTCTTTCCCCTGCCAGGTATGCCATTAGTGTCTATCTCATGGTATGGACAGGATGTGTCTTGAAGCTAAGAAGAGTACTCATACTCTTTCTGTGCAAAGATGCTCTTCAGTCTTTGGGAGCAGCAGA